ACATAAGTAACTAATCCAAGAGTGACATATGAACAGTAGAGTTGCATCAGACCACAGCATTCTGGTTATAGTTGCATGCTGATTTGTAGAGTATTTTGTAAGAGCTGCATGCTGGAACTATGCCAAACTTCCTTCTTACTAATTAGGAGTACCTTCATTGCCACTGACTTTTTGCCACAGTTCAGAATTATTGGGAAATAAGGCTTTGGGGGTTTGTCCAGTGTCTAGAGCAGGGGTCAGCAACTTTTTCAGCCATGGGCCAGTCCACCGTCCCTCAGACCATGTGGTGGGCCGGACTATATGGGGGGGGGGGGAGAATGAACGAAATCCTTTACCCACAAATAGCCCAGAGATGCATGTTAAATAAAAAGACACATTCTACTCATGTAAAAACACACTGATTCCCGAACCGTCCGCGGGCCAGATTGAGAAGGCGATTGGGCCGCATCCGGCCCCCGGGCCTTAGGTTGCCTACCCCTGGTGGTCTAGAGCTTTATTTTCTCATTTCTATATAGAAAGGCCATGAATCACTCCCACCCACAGCCAAACTGAAATCTCTGCAGAACCCAAGTTAAAAGGAATATGTTTTAAGTTTAAGCACAACAAAGTTATGAAGGAATGGTTGGTTAAGGAAAAGTGGCTTCGAAAATTCTCAGTTGCTGGATAAGGTTCTTCCACAATAAAACCAAACACTCCCACCACCCTTCCTATGCACAGTAATCTCATGGTGGAAATATGCCAGCTTTTAGAACCTAAAACAACAACTACGTTTTTTCTGATAAGCAAACAGCAGGACTGTGGTTGTATCCTGTGGCTGCCTATATACATGCAATGCCTAAGAGTATGAAGTGGGAAAGATCCAGATCAAGCCTCTGCTTCAGAACTGCCATCACTAGGGAGCCTTAGGAAGGGAAGCCAAGGTTCTCTGGGCCCCAGTGCAGCAGATGGTGTTGATCCACATTACAGAGTTGTAAAGATGACAGAGATAAATGGGTATATGCTGAACATACATGAAGTGCTGTATAAATGCAAAGCATTGTCATAACAAACTTGTGTGCACCTATCTCCTGTTTCCACACAGGCTGGGCCTTTACCTATGGCTGCTGTGGGATTGTCAAAGCATGAGCTTTCACATCCTGAGTATTTATCAAGGGGAACTGTGAGTAACAGAGCAATCCAGGGCTTCCACTGCTGCTTGAAAAGCTCAAACAAAAACAAAGGGGGGGCAGTAATTTTTGTTTAAGTGCTATTCTTCATTATCTAAATTATAGGACATTCCAATGACATAAAAATACAACCAGCTCAATAGACTTACCTCTGAGTAGACATGTATAGAATTGTGCTGCTAGCCTGAACACAACCCTCTGTCTGCTAAAAGAGATGGGTGGCCAAAGCTGTGCTTCAGCCCTCATTGGCACAAGGATCTGAGCGGTGAGAGTATCTGACAGACAACTCAAGTTAGATTTGCCTTCCTTCCCTTCAAATAAAGCTATTCCAAGCACACAGTTGTGTGTGGCTGCTTGTAAAAGGATGCACATGAAAAGGGCTAGAAATACATTTTTAAAGACTGTCTGAATATAACCTTTTTCCAGAATCCATTTAAATGGATAATAATCTGCTGCTATCATTCTCTTCAGAAAGGCATGAGGTCAAGCTTGCGCATTCCTAGACTTGCAGGCTCTATCCAGTCATGGTAGTTGTAGGAGGCCAGAATTTTTGGCACATAAAGATGAGAGAAGCAGGCTACAACCCTAGTTCTTACAATTCCCATTCACCTCACAATTCACCGAGTCAAGAGAAACAAGGACTAGATGCAACGGGATTTGGAGGGGGAAGATTGAGGTTCAGAATTCTCGCTCCATTGTGAACACTGGGCACACCACTGCCTACAAGAAAAACCTCTCACAAGGTTTCGTGAGCATACTGGAACAATGATACAATGGAACACTCAGGTTAGAGCAGGGCATTGTTATAAACTCAGATATATAGGCTACTGTAATTGCCAAATAGCAATTGTTAGTGTCAGAGCTGCCCGAGGTCCCAGCTCACAAAGGACCAACGCCAGTTCGTTGTTATATACAAAAGTCTTTATTGAAGTTCAGTTTCGCTTTCACAGCCGCAGCGCGCAGCTCTACGTCTCAAACTCTAGACCGCTGAAGCTCCGTCTGAATCTCCTCCCCCCAGACACCAGTTTAAGACTCTAGCCTTGCTCCACCTCTTCCTTTGCTCTTTCCTCCTCTGGTTCCGCCTGTCCGCTGGGGTCTTGCCCTTCCTAGACTCTTCTGACGCTGAGTCCCCTGAGTCCTCCCCCTCCCTCCGGCGGGCTTTAGGACCTGGTTCCCAATCCGGGTTTTCTGCTGTCCCGCGCGCCTGTACATTCGAACTTGGCGCGCGCGCCCAGCCGGCAACCTTCCTCCTGACCGTTACACTGCTCCTGTCACTGCTTCCCCCTTCGGGGAGGCTAGCTGGACCTGACCTCCCCTCCGTTCCCCCACTCTCCGATAGAGGCGTGGTCAGCCCTGACTCATCTTCTCTCCCCGCTGGAGGAGACGCTGGCCCTGACACATGGGACTCTTCCCCCCCGCTACGCTCTGGTGGGGAAGCTGGTCCTGATCTCCCGCTGCTGCTTTGGGAGTCCCCGCTGGCCCCTTGTTTCTGGTGCGTCCCCCCTGGGACCCCCCTTGCCCTGACCATCGGCGCCCCCCTCTGGGAATCTTCTGATTCGCTGGAGAAGCTCATGGAATCTCTCGGGTCACTGTCATACTCCCCTACGCTGCCCTCAGATTCTTCCCCTTCGCTCTCCATTTCCTCTCTCCCCTGTGCCTCTGCTCCTGAGCCCCTGACAGTTAGAAACTCAGATATATATGCTACTGTAATTGCCAAATAGCAATTGTTAGAAACTCAGATATATATATGCTACTGTAATTGCCAAATAGCACCTTAAACCTGGATTGCAGTCGCCACAACAGAATGTCTAGGCACCAATCCCTCCCCCGCAAGGGAAGTTGCTGTTGTTGTTGTTAGTCATTTCATTTCTATTCCACATTATACTGTATTTTAAAGAAAAAAAATTCAAAGTAGTTTACAACACATTAAAACATCAAATAAAACAATGCATTATAAATTCAAGCTTTAAGAAAAATATTTCAAATACTTCTCTAAGTGACATTTTGCTTTCCCATATTTATTTACCTACTTAATTTATATAGCTGCCCCATAGCAGAAGTACTCTAGGAAGCCAGTGGGGTGTAGTGGTTAGAGTGTCAGAAGTTCACTGGGTGACCTTGGAGTCAGTCACAGCCTCTTAACCTCCATCACAGGGTCAATGCAGGGATTAACTGAGAAGTCACGTGAACCATGCGCTCCTTGGAGAAAAAGGTGGGAGATAAATGCACTCAACATTTCTCTTGCCATGAGGTTTGACTGCTTGTACAAGGCTTTGAAATTCTACAGAAAGCTTCCTGTGGCCCCATGGCTACAGCTTGCCTATCCTTGGGGTACAGTGTGAAAGAGGTCTAAGGTTATGAGCCAAAGAATCATTAAGGCTAGCTCTTTGTACTTAAACTCCTTTTGAAATAAACAGCAGCTTCAAACACAGATTTTTACATGTCGTGCAAGCCCAAGAATAAAGCAAGTATTTGGTGAACATCCCAAAGACATCTCAACATGAATCATATCCCAACATGAACATAGTTCCATGCTTGGTGTGAATTCAGGAAAATCAAGCCCTGGTAGCTAAGTGGGTCCTCGGCATTTAGAGGCCATGTGTTGCAAAGAACAAGGGAGATCTGTTGCATTCTTAAGAGGAATTATGGTGACAAACACAACAATGAACAAGATGTCCTTGGTCTGAGCCAGCAGCACTCATGCTCTTAAGGGAATCGCCAAGGGGACACCAGCTGACCACAAAAATCTAGGATTGTGGAGCTACCCCACCATATCAGCCATTAGGCACCAAGTGTGAACACAGCAAAGCAAGACATGGAAAGAGGATGAGCAAACACACAAATATATTTTGCAGACAGGAACTATGGGAGTGGCATGATGCATTATTTTTAAACACCAAAGGTCAGGAGAAATGCAAGAGCTCCGTCAGATAAAAGGGCCTAAATTAGCTCTGTATGTCTCTTTAGCTCCTTGGAATAGCCATTAGATCACATCACTTCATCTTCCAGTCTAGCTGAGGTCAAGCCACATTTAATTCATTATTTTGTGGTTGCAGCAGAAGATGGTTGAAAAGCATCCCTTATTTCAATTCAAGGTATGTTTTTCTTCTTAAGTAAGTAACAAGCTTTTAACGTAGTAAGCAAATTGTTCCCCTAACCAAGTCTGTACTCTCAAAGGCAAGGAAAAACAAACAAAAAACAGGAAGACTACAAATAGCAGAATATTGGGAGGGAGGATTATATTCTAAGTTATAAAGGAAATATTTTCAAGTAATAAAGGAAGCATCAAGGACTGTAGTTTCTATTTACTGTGGTCCAATGTGGATATTAAAGAAAAGGCACATGAATCCCATTACTTTTAGACAATTTATAATGACTTACTGCTTGAACTTTTGACTAGTTTGATAGTTCCAATAAATCGTAAAGATGCTCAAAGAGAGTTCCTCTAGGGGGGGGGGGGAATCACCTAAATGGATTTCCTGAGAGGGCTGCACAAATACCAGTCTTGCTTCGCATCATGTAGCCAAAAGATTCCGTGCTTTCTAGGGTGCCCACTCCATTCACACAGGGAAATGAAGCAGACTAATAGGCCAGCCAGCATTTTGTGCACGTTGACCACAATGATCTATGCCCAAGAAGCCTCTGCCATGAAGCAGAGCCCAGGAGTCTCTTCGCAAAAGGGTAGCAGCTCTGCAGCACAGCCCAGGCTGCTTCTAATTCCAGGTTCAGCCTTGCTCATCTCTACATATGACCAGCTTAAGACTCTGGAGAGCCATTGCCTGACATAAGACAATTCTGGCAGCTTCCTGTGCTCCCATCATAAAAATAGTTCCTCTAACGCAGATAGGTGCTGACGCTGACGGCAAGAGCAAGGAAGACCCACTGACTCTTGTCCAAACTGCACTGAAAGAGGAACAAATATCAGTTAAGGAGCAAGCCCATACATCTCTCCCAGCAAGCAGTCTGTGCAATTAACAATCCAAAAACTATGACAAAAATGCAAGCAGGTGACAGCTTGCTGTGTTTGCAGACCAGAATGTTTCACCATCTGTGGTGAGGGGGGCGGGGGGATTTTTCAAGCCTGTGGGCAGCAGGCAGCACAGCAGTACCAAGACAAATCCCCGCGTCCTCTTTTATTACATTTATATGCCTCCTTTCCTTCAAAGGGGTGTACGTGGCTCTCCCCTCCCCACTTTATCCTCCCCACAACCTTGTGAGATGCAATAGGTTAGGCCGAAAGATTGTGGCTAGCCCAAGCTGACAAATTCACCTCCATGACAGCCACACTGGCCTTCACTGGCTTTGTCGTCTTACCTGCCAAAAATGCCTGCTATGTTTCTACGGACAAGTTGACTGCAGGATCCATACTTAGCAGATTCCTACCACTGGCTAAGTCATCAATATGAGAGAAACACAGCAGGAGAAAATACAGCATGAAGTTCAGAATGACTGCTTCAATCCTCCAGATCTAAAACCATTCAGAAGCTTTGTGAATTGCTGCCTGACCGTTCTCGGATATTTTACCACTACATTTACTTTTGTTCTTAATTAAATAATCTGGCAACAACAACAACAACAACATTTTATATCTAACCCTTCAACTTTCAAGTGAACAGGGTGGCCAACAGCAAAGCAAAGCTGACAGGTCAATCTGAAATTATTTTCTATGAAATACAAGCAGAAATACAAATACACATTATGTTACTCTTATCATGTTTCAATCAACCAATCAATCAATCAATCAATCAATAATATATTATTATTAATACCCCACCCATCTGGCTGGGTTTCCCCAGCCACTCTGGGCGACTTCCAACAGTAGTCCATCAAACATTAAAAGCTTCCCTAAACAGGGCTGCCTTCAGATGTCTTCTAAAGGTCTGGTAGTTGTTGTTCTCTTTGACATCTGGTGGAAGGGCGTTCCACAGGACGGGTGCCACCACTGAGAAGGCCCTGTGCCTGGTTCCCTGTAACCTCACTCCTCGTAGGGAGGGAACCACCAGAAGGGCCTCGGCGCTGGACCTCAGTGTCCGGGCAGAACGATGGGGGTGGAGATGCTCCTTCAGGTATACTGAAGACAAAGATGGGACAAAGGTCTTCAGCTGCTGTTTCAAGACACGTAAGGGGGGGACAGACTGATCTCAATAAGGAGAGAGTTCCGGTTTCCAGTTCTGCGCAATGGCGGTGGCTCTCTCACGTCGGAGAGAGGCTCAGACAAAGGGGAAGAGAACGTTAAATCATTCCCTGAAACCTCCGAGGGTACAGGGGAGCAGGCTGACCTGCGGTCACCTCAATGACTCGCTCCCACATGGGTCAGCACGGGGGGTGGACGGTGCTGAGTCTCTAGCACCTTCGCCATGATGCAAACCCTCCTGACTGCCATCAAAAGCAGAGGTTCTCCTAATGACTGGCTCCTAATTGACATTAAGTAAAGGAGATGTGGACACTAGAACGGTAGACTATCCAGCTGCATTGAAGTGAGGTTTGAAATCAGGAGAAGATTTTATTCTGTGTTGGTAGTGGTGGATGGAGGAGAGGTGGGCTCTCCGCTATGTTCTTAAGTTTATGATTTGGCAACCCTCTCCAAATACAAGATTTAAAGAGATACATAGTAAATCAAACCATCCTCACTTGTAACGTTGATATTTAAAAGAAGACTTAAAACAGCGTGGGTGGGGAGCCTGGGTGTTTCGGTGGATGTCGTTGGAGACTAGAGCTTATTCCTCCCCCTCCTTAAAAAAAAGAGACAATGGACTTGAACATAAGTTGTATCTCAACCTCTCGTTAATAGGAATGACATTGGCCAAAGGTGCTGCTAGCAGAGGGACTCAAAAGCAGTGGCGGTTTCACCAGCGATATATCGCTAAGTGAAACCGCCATCCCACTCTGCATAACCAGGTTGAAATTTGGAAAATCAATAAAAATAATTGACACACTTAATAAGGAGGAAGTTCCAATAGGACACCACCATTTAGGAGGCCCCATCCTGTGTGGCAGTAACACACAAAGGGCCTTGTCCTGTAGATCTTAAATCACTGGTTTCCTGGCACTGAGGAAGGCATTCTTCCTTCAAGTACTTGGGTCTTAAGCCATGCGCACACAGAGCCACACATGCATATTTACATGCACTTGCAGATGCAGACATTACCAGCATTTCCAGCTGTAAGTGGCAAGCCAGGGAAAAGAAGGCTCTCGGCACTCCTGGCCACTGAAGCCACAAGGACAGTATGGAATCCAGGAGAACCTCTTTAGGGGAAATGCTATCCCATCCAGAAAATACTCTCTACCCGGAAGGCCTCCTTCTTATCAGGATTCAGTTTATTGGTCCTCATCCCATCCATGTTGTCCTTTTTGAAATCCAGTCACCCTTTTCTCCTTTCTCCTTCTCTTTGTGTTTTTTAATGAGAAACAAATAAATAGCAGCAGCATGAGCATAGCCAAAGTGGGGAAGGGAAGGGCAGCTGCCCCCCATCAATAAAAATAAAAATACAGAGCTAACTGAGGTTCTCCCCCCCCAAAAAAAAATACTGGCTACACCCATGAGCAGCAGTACTACCACTACAAAGAAGTACAAGCCTCTTTCGTCTTCAAACTGTAGGTCAGGATATATAATGGGCAGAGTGTTGAACTGAGGCCAGAAAGAAATAGGTTCAAAAAACCATATAGCCAAGAAGCTTACTAAGCAAGTTTTGCTCACACTAGAAAACACAAGAAAGCTTTCCTAAGCTGCACAGAAGAAATACAAAATAAATATAGCCAGGATTGCCGCTCTAAGCATACATTAATCTCCACACATACACACAAAAGAAAAACATATTCTAGAAATAATGAGTTCAATGTCACAAGCTACATTTTTCATTAACTTCTCCGCTTAGCTGAAGTCCTCTTAAAAAAATTACATTAATAAAAAATATTTTGCATAAACATTTATACCAAGTAAATTAAATCAACTTGCTTTAAGGAAATGCGGTATGTATTTGTTGAAGACCAGTCTCCCTTTGACCAGAAGGTCTCATAGCAACACACATACAATAGTTAATATGGAAAGGACAGAGGAATCAAGTTCTTGATGCATTTATCAGGAAATCATATGAATTAAACAGGTGCTCATAATAAGACAAACAAAGCCTACATATATGAAAATCTAAAATGAGAATCAAAATTTCACAGGGAGTCTTCAAACATTATAATTCACGCATATCTTTAAAATGTTTTGGGTTTATATCCCCCCCCACACACACACAAAATAAAAAATACAAAGTGCAAATGACGTTTAACAAATCATTTGTGGGATTGGCTGTGGTTCCCTGTCAAGGGCGCCAGCGTTTCCTGCTGTGTAATGTGTGAAATGGCCCTCCAATGGCCATTTAAACAGTGAAAATGGGGACACAGGCAAAAGAGAAAATAATTGGAGTCAGAATTTTAAATTAGAGGAGAAACAATGCAAATTTAACTCCAGAATCAAAACCTGAAACGTTCCCAAGGGCCGTTTCTCTCAATATATATGAGAGAAGAAGAGAAAGCCTGCATTGCTTTGGTTGCTGGCAACAACCTACTCACTCGTCTTGCAATAATCCCACAGACTTCAAACAGACTGCTTTGGAGAAAGCAGTTAGTGGATGGCAGCCAAAAACAACGCTACTGCAGTTATTTTGGAATATTTACCCTACACTGTGAGGCAAGCTATGTGGGCTAAGCCCATTTTTATTTGTTCTAAAAGGTAAACACTTACTAAAAATAAATACCTTAAACAGGAATGAAGGGCAATAACTATTCAAAACCTAAGTTGCTTAGGACACAACCTCTGTCCATCCACAAAGTAGCTGATAGTTTTCTATGGTGTTGCCAAAAGCGGCTGACATTGTTTAGCTACCAGAAGAACAAAATGGAATCACTGTGTAACATTGCATCCCATGCCAAATAACATCTGTATACACCATCAGGGATTCCCTATAAAAGACATCTTGTTTGGACTACATTATCCTTTCACATTTTATCATGATTCATTGTACTGTTAATTCAAACATAAAGTTTATGATCATCAAACAGAGCTGTCTCTCCGCTCTCACTACTACCATACAGTACACAAAGGAAATGTTTGCAGTGAGAAAAATAGACATCTATGCAGGTGACAGGCTTTACTTAGGACTATTTTGCTCCTATCCTATTTGCACATAAAGAAACAGATACCTGGACGAAGAGGAGCGTGGTTATATTAGCCCAAGATTATTATGGGTGAATACAGATACTATTTTGTACGCCCATCATCTGGAATGCTATGCCAAGCATTAACAATGCAGTTGCTTTGGGTTTTGACATTATTTTGAAAATGGTTTTTGGAGATAGGTTTGATGAAAAGAAATTTAATGGATACACGTGTGGTGAGAATTCCACTGCGCCCTTGTTTTAAAAAAATCATGTGCTCAGTGACAAGACCACATGATTCAGCTCCACAAGGTCACAGGTTCTCTTCCCACCCTTTTCCTGTTAAACTGCAAACAAACATGATAAGACAGGGCTCAAGAGCCACAGAATTTTATTCAGCAACTGATCTCTATGAACTATTGCTCAGTGAGCTTTAAAAGTATAGCTGACGCACTGTGAAGTAATTGCAAGCAACCAGCCAGAGCAATTCCCTAAAGCCTAAAAGGCTAAATTAACTGAAGGATTCCTGTGAAGCATCCCAGTGTCTCTAGGCTGCTTCTTGTTGTATAAGCTTTGCCTCGTGATCCTGGCTGCTAGCAGATGGCCCCCAAAACTTCTCCAGCATCACGCTGTCAATTAAACAGTGTCACTAGTTATATTTACAAGCCAGTTTCCAGTGGTAGGGGGGAAAGATCTGTCAAATCCTCTCTTAAGGCTGATGCCCCTTGACAGAATCATTATAGATGGTTTGCTTTTTC